AAAAAAAAAAAAAAAAAAAAACAGGAGTTGCCATCCTTATTAATGACATCAAATTTTACACGTAAAAGTAGACGTTAAAACTTAGAAGGCAGTATACCCACGTAACAGTGAACATCTTGGACTTAAACCACATATCGTTTGACGATGAATTAATTGTCGTTTTCTCATTAAATAACTATGACATCAAATTTTACACGTAAAAGTGGATGTCGTCTCAAATATGTGACAGCAAATTCTTTAAGGGTTGTTCTTTTACAATAAAATTCAGAAAAAATTTGAACTCGAGTTATAATTTTATTTAAATACATGTTTTTTTGTAAAATTTGAATTTGAATTCGAGTTTGAACTCGAGTTTGGGGTTAAACTTAAGTTCGTTTTCCTTTTAACTCAAGTTCATAAACTCGAACTCAAGTTAATAAACAATATTTTTTCTATTTTTAAAAATGTCATAACTTTTTCGTTTTAATTATAATTGAGATTATTTTTTTTCTATGCATTCACAACGAAAAGATGAATAAAACCCCACTCATATATCCTATTAAAATTTTTCATCACCATTGAGTTTTTATTAAAACACTATCTAAATACAAATTTAAGTTTTGACTCATACAAACATAAACTCAAAAAGATTCTTAATTCAAATCATAACTCAAATGTGCACATCTAAACACAAACTCAAGTTATAATTTTAACTCAAATTATAACTCAAGATCATTATTTAAATCACCTTAACTAAAAAAGGAAAGAGAACAACCCCTTAAAATTTCGTTTAGTCGAATTTAAAGACCACAAACTTCCAAACACAGAACTACGTGTCTTTTTCATTCTTAAAACGAAAGTTAAGTTTTAGAACCTAAACTTCATGTCGTGTGGCAATAAAAGACAAGAAACTATAACTGTAACCGAAATCAACTAGTACTTTAACCAATACAAGAAATAATTTCCCCTAAAAAAAAATACAAGAAATGAAGATAGACCACAAGCGACATGACGTTCCAGCTAAACGACAACAAGATTACTTCCGTATAAACCACAAAAGTAATATAAAACGTCATGTGGTTTATATGATGCAACGAGAAAAACTATTTTGTTTTGCAAAAAACGACGGTCCTACATATTAGAAAACATAATATCATTTTAATAGGCGTTAGTTTACCAATTCATCCTAAAAGTTTAAACTGTTAGGAGGTGAGCTAACAATAATTTTATACTTTAACACTCTTCCTCACGTGTGGGCTGGACAATGGACAATCATGTGGGTAAATTAATTAGAAAGCCCAATACGTGAATATTTAAGCCCGAGATATATTAAAAACCCAACACATAATGATAATTTTAAATAGGAATAAAGAGTGTAAGTACGGGGGTTTGAATTCAGGACCTCCATCTCTGATACCATATTAGTTTACCAATACATTTCAAAAACTTAAGCTGTTATGAGGTGAGCCAATAATAATTTTATACTTTAATAATAGAGAAACTGATACGTGGGCGGGATTGACTTTGGATGGTGACAGAGACCAGGAGAGGTTAGCCCACTGGATTAATACAACGGCCCAACTGGAGGAGACTAGGGCCCAAGACCAGATCAGGGGGCTGTTAAAAGAAGATGATCAGTTCAACAATACAGTGGAGAAAGAGGAAGAGCTTCCAGAAGTAAAAAAGAGGGAGACACGTGAGACCAGGGTGCCCAAGAGGCCAAGCAGATTCGACGATTTCGTGATGGATGGAGGCCGTTGAGGCCGTTGCGAAATATTCAGGATTCGCTACGGCAATTCTGTTTTCTCTTTCAAAAATATTTAGACATTTTTCTATTTTCTTGTTTTCCTAAGAAATCTCGTTGCTTATAAATAGATTTCTCAATTTAATGGAATTTTTCAAGCAATCAGTAAAGTTTTCCTTGAGGGAGTTTGGCACTAACTCGAAGAGTGCGTTCTTGTTCTTATCATTGGTGCTTTCATCGAGAGACACTCACCGTGAGGAACGAAGAGATTGTAGAAATCATGAAGGCTATGGAGGAAAGCTTCAAACAACATTCGGACGGTCTGCTGGAGAAATTCACTTTCCTTCTTGAGCAACACATGGCTACCACCGAGAGTCGTTTGTCCCATAGTGCCCAGAACCAATCCGATCAGCCAACTGATGTGGCCGGTACCGGTGCTGCGATTAGTTTGGCCGGTGGAGTTCGGACTAACTCGGACGTTACTCCAACGGATATACATTCCATTTCGAAGAGCTGCGTGTGGATGTTCCCCGATTCAATGGCTCCAACGTGGATGACTGGATTTACAAGATCAACAAGTTCTTCACCTTATATGGGGTCGACCCGGCGATGCGATTTGCTGTCGTCGTTTTTCACCTTGACGGTGAACCGTCCACGTGGTACTAATGGATGGAGAAAGGGGGTGCTCTCACGAGCTGGGAGATCTTCCTTCATGAGCTGCGTAAACGTTTCAGTGCTTCCATTTATGACGATCCACTGGGTTACATCTCCAAGCTGGTCCAGACATGACCTGTCTCTCAATTTCGTGCTGAGTTCGAAGCTCTCATGACACAAATTACAGGTGTTTCTGAACCTATGTTTCTGAATTTCTTTATTTGGGGATTGAAGCAGGAAATCCGCCGGGAACTTCTGATTTCTCGTCCCTCGTCTCTAGCCGACGCTATGGCTATGGCCCAGTTGTTTGAGGAGAGAATTGAGGACCTGATTCACTTCCAAAAACGCGAGGGGACCTGCATTTTTGTCGG